ACTATGGTACTACTTGGAGGGTCAGGAGGACTTAGTAAGTAGGTTAAGAATGGGGATAAGTAGAGTTACTATGTGGGTTATGGGGGTTATTAAGCTACTTACTAAGTCCCCCTGACCCTCCAAGTACAGTATGCCAAGGTCATGCAGGCTTTTTCCATATCAACAATGATACTGCTGATGGGAAGCTCCCTCCATTTCCCACCAGCAAACATGAAACTGAAGCCCTAAACCCTAAGAGTTCCATAGCCAAAGTCATGGTCTCCTACACTGATACAGCCCTGTTTGGAGTAAGAGGCACCCGTATGCGTACTTAGTTTGCGAAATATCAAGACCTCTACTTGGAGGGTCAGGGGGACTTAGTAAGTAGGTTAATAACCCCTATAACCCATATAGTAACCCTACTTATACCCATTATTAAGCCTCCCTGACCCTCCAAGTATGGCCGGCCACCATCAAAACTACCAATACTACAACTACCCTCCCAACAAACCTTGAACCCTGAAATGTCAGTGGATAGTAGTGAATGGATTGTATGGAGGAATCTCCATCCATTCCTGTGTAGTAACCCCTATGGCCTATAACCCGTTCCTGTACTCCCAGTGACCAGAACCCAGTAACCCTTATCCCTAAGCCCTGAGTCCACTGGAAACCCTGCACCTTTAGCCTAGGGTTTAGGGTTTAGGGTTTAGGGAAAACTGGGAGCCATGTCGACCCAAGCGACTTATTGTACTCAGCGATGAGGTCGCTGTTAGTCTGCTGCAAGCCAGAAAACACCTCAGCACTTGCAGCCACCAATCTAGGGTAGATTTGGAGGCCCTGTATAAAGTATGAGAATTACATATGGATTAAAGGTAACAACAATTCCCAGCGTATTGAACAAACTACCGGATTTCGGCTTTGGGGCGTTTAGTGTTCACGGTTTGGGGCTTAGGGCATTTAGGGTTTGGGCTTTAGGGAAGGTAGACTCTCAAAGCCGAGAGGTCTCCCTACAGAATCCAAGTTTAGGGTTTAGGTTTTAGGGACCCTCCCCCAGAGTTGCCGGAGTACGACTTTGGGCAACTAGGGGATCATTATGATGTTTCCTTTGGCATCCTTTAGGGGGTCTTTGTGGCAAGTAGGGAGCCTAAACCCTAAACCCTATATCTGCTTGAGGGAGCATCGACCCAAAGAGCCCTCTTCTTTAAAGGACGGTAGCCTTTACAGTCCCCGTTTTGGAGGTCTCGTTTTAGTTTCGGGGGAGGGGGGGCAGGGTTCAAGGCACTCCTACAAACCTGAAGTCTAGGAAAGTCCCAAGCAACCACTCGCAGACCTACACCCAACACTTAGAGGTTCCTGGGACTTAGCAACTATTTATAACTGGGCTTATAGTCCTACTTATCATCAGGGATTACCTACAGAAGTCCAGCTAGATAATCCCCAATAAGTAGCGCTACAAGCCCAGTGACTGTTCATGGATGCAATCTTGCACCACCTCAGTCCCTAAAGTCCCACGAACTACAGTACAGTGGGGTCCTACGCGGTGCAAGATTTCCTCCATTCACCGTAGAAGTAGTCACTAAGTCCCCTGGAGTCCCTTAATCCAAAGGACTGTATATGGGGTATATGGTAGTTTCCCAAAACAGGGGGACCCCAATATAGACCCCAAAGTGCTATAATCCAATTTATTGCGATCCCTAAAAAGATACCCCTAAGTTTGGGGGGCCCATCATAGGGATCCATCCTTCGAAACGTATACCGTTGAACAGGCCTGCACCCCAAACCTTCAAAACCGGAAAAACCTTAACTATATATATATATATGTATATATATATGTATATATATATGTATGTATATATATGTATATATATATGTATATATAGAAAATATCAACCAATCTGGATATATTTATAGAAATCTATCTATCAATCAATCAATCTATCTAAATACCTATATACATGTATTAAGTCTACACACAAGACCTATTCCCTAAACCCTAAAACCTAAACGCCAATGATCTCATAAAATCCAGCCCAGTGACCTTTTTCAGATGTTGCATGTCCGACAGCATCCTGGCATTTTTCTTTCAAGGGCTTGGGGCGCAAAGTTGAGGTTTGGTTTTGAGAATTTGTGGGTTTCAAGGTGTTGGTGTCTAGGCTTTAGGGGTTTTAGACCCTAAGCCCTAAACCCTTTTGGAGGTTTAGGATTTTGAGGTGGCTGTGGTTTTAGGGTTCCATGGTTGTGGGGGCCGTAGGCTTCAGGTTTATCTCGCGCCTGTTTGCTGGGTTTAGGGTTTAGGAGGTATATCTGGCCAATCCCAGAAGAACCCCTTACCAAATCGCAACAAAACCATGCTCCCGACATCCCAGACCGCGCTAAGCCCTGCAGTCCAAAATCTTATAAGATACTGCCAAGACTTCCCAGGTGATTAATGGACATGGGTTCCTTGTTGGGGACTATGTTTAGGAACTATACTGAACTATAAGCGGGACCCCTATGTCCGCTGCGAAGGGTCCCTTACTAAGACTAATATCGACAGCCACTTAAACCTTAAATCCCAAACCCTACATAGTAGTTGCCAATTTCTTTTCCATTAACCCTATATCATACATAATGTCGACAATAACTCTTACCCTCAACTCTAACCCGGGTGCTGCCCCCACCCAGTGGGTTTAGGATTTATGGTTTACGACTTAGGGTTTGGGGCTTAGGGAAACGGAATGTGAAGAAGAAGCCCTGAATGTCACCCCTACTATAGACTCTGTCTGTCTGGGTAGGGGCAGGACTGCAGGACTCAAACTCTGCACCTGCAAGGGCACACTCTGCCAACAGAAAAGCTACTGGGTGCGATGGAAGGTTATTTGCAGGGGAAACTCCCCACCTCCCCTGAAGCTGCATGGCCCTGTCAGCACTGAACTTTCAACCCAGAAGCCCAAGTCCTGTATCCTGAACCCTAAAACCCGAAGCGTCTATCCAGAACCCCCCCCCCCCAAGTAGATAGAGTATGTATTTGGGTAGATTTCAATATGATCCCCATATACCCCATATTCTATCGACTTAGGCGGAACCCTAAACCCTATCTACTTAAGGGGGACTAGAAACCCTGACGTGGCCTGTAGTCCTCTGCCTTTACGATGAGGGCCTTCACCAAGTTTGCGCTGTCTGCCATTTCAGCAGTCAGCTTCCTTGGGGCCCAGATCTCGTCAAAAGAAGGCTAGGGCTAGATCCCATCTAGGCAGCTGAAGCCTGTTTAAGGGCTAAATGAACCCTAAAGTATGTAGAATAATGACACCCGATACCGCGTCAAAGTCCAGGTAGTGTGTAGGCTTGTTACTTAGGGGGAGCCTATGGAGAATGGATATAGAGCCCGTCCGGGCTCCTCCCGTACATCGCGAGGTCTCCAGCCACCCCACTAAGGCCAAAACCTCTACAATGTACATTGCTTTTCCCCTTCATGGGAATACCCTAAATTCAAGGACCAAAGCAGGGCTGAAGCAAGAAAGCCCTGGTTTGATGGCTTCGTGGGCAATATCAAGGACGTGCCGCCACCCACAGATCCCTGGAAGTGGGGTGGCGCCATCGGCACATGATACTCACCCTGCGCAGGTAGACGCCCTATACCCCAAACCCTAAACCCTAGTAGGGTGGTTTACGTGGTTCGGGCGGCTCCCACACTGAACATCAGGTTAGGGGTGAGAAGTAAGTGGCGCGCCTAAGCCCTAAACCCTAAACGCGTCTTGATATTACTTAGGGGGAACCCTGAGCCTTAAACCTTAAACCCACAAACCCGAAACCGCGTCAAAGCATCATGCGCACAGCGTTGTACTCGTCGACTCGCGTGAGCACTTGCTGGAACCTCGGCTGGACATAGGGCTTAGGATTTAGGGTGCATGTTTAATGATTCCCTACACGGAGCTTCAATTCCTGAAAACCCAATTATGGAGGGTTTAGGGTTTGGCATTTGTTTCCAGGGTTTGGGGCTTAGGATTTAACTGCGTATAGAGTCTATAGTTTTTGGGTTTAGGATTGAGGTCTTAGGATTTGGAGTTTGGGGTCGCATGAAAGTTTGGGCGATGGCACTTGAAGGTTCACGGAACTTACCCACTACTTACCACTACTTATAACCGGGCTTGCAACCCTTCTAGCAGTTGGGACAACCTCTATAAGTCCAGTTAGGGAGGCTACAAGCTCTATAAAAGGCCATTAGTAAGTCAATGAACCTTCAAATACGGAGTATATGGTAGTTTTGTCAAAGTTGTGATATTTTTTTGGTCCCCAAAGTAAGGCCGCTAAAATTCAGGGTAGTGACCCACGGAGATCACAATCTTGACATATGAGCCATAATCTAAACTCCTAGTATCCCCCTTAATAACCCCTATAGTAGTCCCCTATATAACCCCTATATAATCCCCCTTTAAGGAGTTTAGACTATAGTTCATATCACTTTGAATGTTGTGGTTGCAGGGGCGGCTAAAGCTTTCTCAGGGTTCCGAGACTGGCTATCCTACAATAACTTCGGAACCTCGATTAGGCCAATTTGGGACAGTTTACATCAATTTTCCATATGAGCTATAATCGAAACTCCTAGTATCCCTAGAAAACTCTCCTCTATAGATTCCCTACCCTAAACCCTACACCCTATATCCTGTATATACTCCCTCAAAAGAGTTCAGACTACAGCTCATATAGACCAGCTTGTTGCGATTTGGCCGAGGCGAAGTTGAAGTGTCAGACCCCTATTGGCTCCAAGTCCAAAATACTCTTTTCTCCGAGGGTTTAGGGTTTAGGGTTTAAGGTTTAGGTGTGGGCATAAAATGCCCAAATATGTGAGATTGTCGGGGTTTTCCTGAGATAGGGGCTGTTTCAAGAAGCTCCCACATCCATTCAGCTGAAGGCGCTTTTCCATCTCGGATGGGAAGTTGGCAGAGGACTCAAGTTCGGACACTTGCAAGAAGCTGCAGAGGTCCTTCGGTGGAGGTTCGGGATTGAGGGCTCCAGGTGGGCCTCTATGACGAGCCTGCTTTGATCTCATTCACGCCAACTATTCTAAACCCTAGTTAATCCCTAAACCGTAAACCCTAAACCAACCCCAAATACTAGACGATTAACTTTAAACCCTAAATCCTAGACCCCAAATCTGAAACCCTACATCCTCAACCCTATATAAACCTTACACCCTAAGCCCGACACCCAGCTGTTGCATTTGGGCACCCAGCAGCAAGCCTTACAACTCTAATGGCTCCCTGACCACCCTCAGCACGGGCCTGTATAATGTAGAAGACTAAATAGGGTGTCGGGCTTAGGATTTAGGGTTTAGGGTTTCATTTGGTTACCTTATATGAAAATGATATAAGGAATCAGTGCCACAATATTGGCAATTATTTATGCTGATAAAGTCGACCGCGCATATTACTATTGTCCTAAAGTACCCGGCTGTAAAATTCTTCCCATTGATGCGACAATTTTACATCAACTTATATAATCGTCTGCTTGGGACTTTTGTTTGGGACGGAACGTGGTACCAAATTTCCTGCATGACCAGCACTCTAAACCTGAGCCCTAAATAACCCTAAACCCCGAACACTAAACCTTAAACCCTAAACTTTGAACCCTAAACCCTAGACTCTGAACCCTAAACCCCAAACCCTAGACCCTGAACCCGAAGCCCTAAAACCCTAAAAAAAAACACCACCTGCCTTGACCTCTCTGCCCGTCCTGCACCATCTCGCCTGCTGTCTCCATGTCCTCAGGCTGTCAAAGCCCCTTCATGGGTTTCATTCAGGCTTGTACGCCCAGGCTTGTACGCCTGTTGGTTTAGGGTTTGGGGTTTAGGGTTTGGGGGTCCTCTTAAGGGACTCTAGGGGACTACATTGGCTCATAGAAGAACTATATTAAGGCTGTTTTGGGAAAACATGTCAGGGATGCTCCTTTAAGGGTACAGCCGGAGGTGAAACCTGGAGCTCTCGAGGGGGCCCAAAGGAGGTGAAACCTGGAGCTCTCGGAGGGCCCAAAGGAGGTGAAACCTGGACCCTGGAAGCCTTGAGCCCTAAACCCTAAACCCTAAACCCCCAGCTCCAAAGGCCCAGCCTGGAAACAGCAATCCCACAAGGTCTCTTGTTGTAAAAGGACTGTAACAAGGATCCCAAACAGGGAACCCTGGGTTTAGGGTTAAGGGCTTAGGGTTTAGGGTAATAGACATAGAGGGGCCCTGCTACTATTTTCTTAAGGTCCCTGTTTTGGGTCTCCCACTAGGGATGTCTGGGGTATATGAGCTACAGTCAAAGTTTCCCCGTATCATAAATGGACGCATGAGTCCTTCTGAGGGAATTTCTTAGGGACTGTACTAAACTACTAGAAGGATCTCTACGCCGGCCTTGTCTGATACCTAGGTAAACATGATACAGTATTTGAAACTTTCTGCGCTAGGGCTCAAGGTCCAAGTACCACATGACAGAGGAAGTTAGGGTTTTGGTAATAGTATTTATGGTCCAGATTTTGGGGAAGTATATGCTCATAAGGTGCTTGTTGGGATTGCCTTACACCTTAAAGTCTACGTACTGGTTTAGAGAATCCACGTCGATGCAGGTGAGCGATGCCATTGAAGGCCTCCCAAATCCAGCGCCAGCGCACATGCCGTGCGATCAGCTCCCTCTGGGCGAGTCGAACATGAAGGCTGGCGTGCGCGCGCGCGGCAGCACCAACGCATGCTGAACGCCATCGGTCAACAGGGGAAAGCACTGGACAACATTTGGGTTCGCGTCAAAGTGCTTCAATTTCTCGTGCTCCACGGCCACGTCAGCCAAGACCTCAAAATCGAAATTCTCTGGATCCGGTCGTTGCTTGCCTACCTTCAGTGCAAAGATCTGGCCTACATCGCTCACCTTGAACAACATGGATTGAACAAAGGCACTTGTTGTTCAAGAGTCAATCAGCGCGCGTGGCCCTAGAACCAACAAGATCAGGCTTCTAAAGCCAGGGTGGGAAATCTGCCAAGCAATCCAAAAACCGCGCAGACTGCACGGGGAAGACCTAAACGATTTCAAGGGTTTAGGCTTCAGGGTGTTGGGTGTGTGTGTGTGTGTGTGTAAGACAGGCAACTTTTACTTCGTCCTTCTCTTTCCATGACAACAGCCAGTGTGCGTGCTGCCACAACTGCTCTTGTCCTTCCCGTCTTGTTCCTTTTTGAAGTACCACAAGGACCACTACCGTTACTAGTACTGACTGACTCAACCCCGCACACTCAAGACCAAAACCGCAATTTCTACACCCCAAACCCTCCCCTCCCTAAACCCCAAACCCTAATCACTAAACCCGAATCCCTAAATCCGAATCCCTAAATCCTAACCCCTAAACCCTGATCCCTCAACCCTACTCCCTAAACCCTACTCCCTAATCCCAAATCCTCATCTCTAATCCCTAAACCCTTACCTCTGCCCGAGCGTCGTCCGTGCGGATGGTAATGAGGCCAGTCTGCTGGCTGCTCATAGTGATGCACAGCCTTGGGGCCAGGTTTAAGGTTCAAGGTTTAGGAATTAGTTTGGGGGGGCTTAGGATTTAGGGTTTAGAGTTTAGGGTTGTTTTTAATTAGGGTTTAGGGCTGAATAATAACAACAACAATAACAACAATAATATTAACAATGATAGTAATAAGAAGAAGAATAGAAGTACTAACAAGAAGAAAAGAAAGAATCAGTCTATGGGCTTCGGGCTAGCTGTTGAGGAACTTAGTGTTCAGAATTTAGGGTTTAGGGTTCGGGGTTTAAGGTTTAGAGACATGGCTTCGAGTTCGGGGATAAAGGTTGAGGGCTGAGGGCTTAGGGTCATGAGAACAAGGATCATTGAAAAGCAGGCTCTTCTGACAAGCGTGACTTGATGAAACGCTTTGAGAGCAACCCGCTTTTTGGGCCTATTTCACAGTCTTTTGAGACCCACCCCCAAAAAACAATCGCAATGCATGAAATGCTGGCTAGGTTGTAGAGCTGGGGTTATGCAGTTGGTAGAACAATCCCAGAGCCTCCATATACATCTCATGTAACCTCTCAAGCCTCAGCATCACTCCCATGAAGCCCCCAATCTAACCGTCAAGTATACTAGGTTTAGGGTTTAGGGTGTACAACCCCTGTAGCTCCACGCCATGAACAGTAAAGTCTAAACCCTTAGCACTAAGCACTGCGCAAACGTAAATCCCAAAGTCTACACCTCAAACACACGCGGTTTAGGGTTTAGGGTTTAAGATGGTTTAAGGTTTAGGGTTCAGGGTTTAGGGTTGAAATCTACACTCCACACCCTTGAAACCTTAGCTCTAACCCAAACGTTAAATAAGCAAGCAAAGCCTCCAATGTGAAGGGTTCCAACACTAGAGGCCAGAATGTAGACCTCAAGTTAGTACAGGCCTCATTGTAGATACCCTCCCAAAATGGATTGCAAACTCTAAACCCTCAAACCCAAACACCCCAAACCCTGAACCCAAAACCCCAAAACCCCAACACCCCAAACCCTAAAACCGCCGCAAAACGCAACAACCACCAGACCTGGGAACTCTAAAACCTTAAAACCCTGAAACCCTATGACCCAAAGGCCTAAAGCTATAAAACCACCAAAACCCTACAGCGTTTAGTGGTTTGGGGTTAAACCCTCTGCCTTAAACCCTAATTAAACCATAAACGCTAAAGCCTGAACCGAAAATCCTCAACCCTAAACCCTAAACCTTATACCCTAAACCCTAAACCTCCGCCAGGTAGCGGCTCCCCAGAGCGCAGGGAAATAAAATTCACGTCAAGCAGGTTGGTCGCCTCTGCAGCTCTAGGGTTAAAGGCATTGGGTTTAGGATGTAGGGGTGGATTTTGTAGGGCTTAGGTTTCAGGATTGTCTTGAAGTGTTTAGGTTCGGGGCACTTGGAAGTTTAAAGGTGGTCAGAATAATCATGTTTGGCTGGCACCGTTTCACCCAATTAGAACCACTTCAAGGACTTACGAAGTCTGTACTCAAGTTATAATTGCCTAAACATCCGAGTAGGGTTTGCGGAGATTTAAGAGTGTAGGGCTCCAAACTGTATGTCTGAAAAGCTCTGGGTGGGAAAACCCACGTCAAAACCAGGTAGCCGGGTTTTTCAGGGAGAAGTAGGACTTATCTCGGCTAATGTAGGGCGCGCATGTAGGGTAGATCTTGGCTATGTAGGGACACGAGGCTTGTGGGCCCTGCCTAATCCCTAACCCCTGTAATCCCTAATCCCTAAACCCTACACGCCCCTGCTGGCGGCTCTTCTTAGATAAGAAGTCCAGACCCCCTGCGGCTTAGGGATAAGGGTTAAGGGATTAGGGTTCATTGTTTAGGGCTTAGGAATGTTTAGGAGTTTGCAGACATTTCTCGGCCCGAAAATAAACTGCTCCTTGAGGGAACTGATCAAGGTGTCAGCCTCTGCGGCGTGTTACAGTGCACCGGTCACTGCGTGACTGCGATCGCAATGACTGCCTTCAAATTCACGAGTTAAGTCAGCAGCCGTGATGCCTTCTGGGCGTAAGGAGCCCCGTCGCAAGTCATGCTCTGAATACCGCGCTGGTAGTCATTCAAGCCTGCCTCATGGAGCAGCCCTTTTGGGTCCAAACCGCCTGCACCGCAGCTGAACATCTATCGCATGCTCTGTAAAATCTGTTGCGAATAAGCAATTGCATCACCGCAGCCTGATATTAAACCCTTCAGGCTGAGAAGCATCCTGAGGTACTGTAAGCCTGAGGACATGGGAAGTTAGGGGTTTAGGGTTTAGGGTTTAGGGTTTGGGGGCGCCCCAGTAAAAAGGAATGTCTTCTTTTTGGGTATGCAAGGGGGATCCATATTTGCAGAAAATGCTACCAGATCCGCAGAAGCCATGAGACTCATGGCGGGGACATTGGGTTTGGAGTTCCAGGTTTAAGCAAGTGGTCGATTGTTGAAGTTATGTGCAATGCGGTGGGAAGTCCACAGTGTTCCCTTGCGGGGTATAGAAAATCGAACCCTACACCCGATTTCCTCCACCCTCAGCCCTGGTCCTAGACCCAACACCCTGAACCACGACCTAACTGCAAAAATGAACCCCAACCTTAGGCTTGTATAGCTTCGCCCTAAACTTTCAAGACTGCTAATGACTTCTTGAACCCTCAATGCTATGGAGGTCGTTACAAACCCAAGTATCCTTTCAGTTGCAAGCCAGTTATAACTAAAGCTATATGAGTCACTTGCTGGCGTCTAACTAGTCATGTGCAATGAAAAGTGGCATAAATAGTTTGGAGGACCCCCATATAAACCCCCCTAAGACTACAATCCTTGTTATGGGGACCCAACAGGTACTCCTATTTTTCGCAACCCCCAAGTAAGCCAACGAAAAATAGTCCGGGTCGCCGTCTGCGGCGCAGTTGGCATCTGCTCTGGGATGGAGATGAACGACCTACAGAGGGAGTTCCATGTCCTAGGGATGTAACCAGAATTCCTCATTTGAGCTACTGTCTAAACTCCTAGTATCCCCCTTAATAACCCCTATAGTAGTACCCTATATAATCCCCTATATAACCCTCCTTTATGGAGTTTA